GTCGATTCTTCTTCAAAATGCAGAGCTAAATGCATAAAGAGAAAAATCTGGCAAAGCCATTTGTTGAAAAGTCGTTTTCGCAAAAAGGATAAAACCCAAGTCCTACCGCATCAATGGTATCTAATAAAAACAAGGTTTATTTTTAATAAGTATGGGGCAAACTAGGTGTCCTAGGAGCAAATTCTGAGGGATTTCCATTAAAATGTCTTTACGTGAAAACATTTAATTTTAAATATTAAAACTACATTATTACCTTTGCCTCATCCATTTCACCTAAAAAAACATTTGAGCCAACTGAATGCTAGTTTGAACACTGCCTTCATGATCGCCGTTACCGATCTCTCTTTTGTTTAAATTGGATGATTCTGCCTGTACAAACCCAAAAGCACGTTAATTTTAGCAACAAGTTCATTTAAGATAGGCGAAAAATAATTTTAGCGTTGATAGATACAAAAGCAATAGTAGATTTGAAATTGATAAACGAGTGAATGAAGTGCTATCATCCCACACCTGATTGATGGTTGATCCCAAGATAGGGTTTGAAAGGTTCAAACAACTCTAGATAGATGGATTCGTAAACAAGTGGCAGAAGGAGAACGAAAGAATCAGTAACAGACTGCTTGACAAATGCTTCTGACGCTAATAGATGGGTGTATCATATATGGTTGAATGTGTAATTAGATGAATGTGTCAGGCGTGAGTGAGGGATAGATTTTTTCAAAATGGATGAGAATAAAGACAAACAGATTAGCGATAATGGATTGAAAGTAGATGGATTTGGGTTTGATAGACTGCTGCACTCTGAATTAATGAACAAATGTATCCGATATGGCAATGTTGACGAATTAAGACTGGGTGGGGAAATGAGTAAATCTATCGATGGCTTTATCATCCACATGCATTATGTCAAAATAGAAGGCACCAACTTAAGTACTATTCTCCAACCGTTCACAGTGCGCAGCCTCACCCATTCCAACTACCACATAGCCGCCAGCACTACCCCCCACCCCCCCAAGTAGAAGTGGCTTGAACATCACCCGAACAGTGCGTAGCTGCAACCACGCCCGCAACGGCTCTCACCGAACCTGTAGCACCATCACCGTCAAACTCTTGTGCAGTGGACCCAGCTGCTATAAAAATGCCTGCCGTCGCGGACCTGTAGTTTGCATACATTAGGGAGTGATGACTACTAGTGAATTATGAGTGGACACCAATTACCTGACATCCGGAACACAACAAGGCAATGCCTCATTGCTCACAAATTTAGACTACCGCCTCGGTAGAATGCCATCCATATTTGGCTTACCATTTCTGTACTCTTACACCCATGTTCCACCTGAGCGTGTGCTTTATAAAGCCTACGAGAGGACATAGGCAATACAGTCCTAGCAAAACGACAACACCGATGACGCCCGTGCTGCCGGCCTGTCAACCCCTCCAATGAGATTACACCTTAC